AACATCATAATCAAGTCCTCACCTACATATTTGGAGCCAAATATAGAAAATCCCTCTTTCAAAATTCAAACCCAAACCCTAACTTCACTCAAATCTTCCCAAATTCCACCATTTATACAAAATGACAAATACCTAGGTTAAAACCCATATCAAAGAGTAGAATATCCCTACCTCAAGTGTAGAAGCTCAAAGAGAATGGAAGAAGCCTCAAAGATGTCCAAACTCAATTTTGCTCGGATGAAATGGAAACCCACAAGATGCTCTATCTTTTTAATAAAGGGACAAGGGTTGAGAGATCCCCAAATCAAGGTGTATTTATAGAGAGAGAGTTGGATTAGGGTTCTTAGGGAAAAAGAAGATCAAAAGTGATATAAAATTATCCTGCTGCGAACTAATATACGCAACCTTCGCTCAAGCGAAGGAGTTGTCACTTGAGCGGCCAGACACAACAAGTGACCTCGCTTGAGTGCAAGAAGCGTCGCTCAAGCATAAAATGCAATGCTTTAGAAATTTCACAAATGCACACGCTCAGTCGAGCGCAAGAAGTCTCGCTCGAGCGAGGCACTTTACCTTCCTAGAAATTTTGCATCTGGGAAAGAAACCTGAGGACTCTTAATTTTCGCTCGAGCGCAAGAAACCTCGCTCAAGTGAAGAAGCAAATTACACAAGGCTCGCTCGAGCGCAAAAAGCCTCGTTCGAGTGAAGAGGCCAAAATTTGGGCAGCAACAATCTAAACCAACTAACAACCAACCTGTTCTAAACACGACCAACATATTCCAAAGCTCAAATTCAAAGAGTTAAAAGGAGGAAAACAAGACATGGACACAATGTACAACCACGGAACCCAAGTCCGGAACATAATAAAAGTCAGGTCAAAACCGATATCACTATATATTCACTTGATAATTTGATGGTGGACACGTGTCAAACCTTTACACAAATAGTTGGCACACTTTTTGAGCATTATTAATAAAATACACAGTTTTATTTATTTTTATTTTTTTTTGCAATTACAACCTGTTATTTTTTTAATAAGAATTTAGATTTGTTTTAGATATTTTTTTAATATATAAATTATTTTTTACAATGTAATTTTTATTTTTTTTCGCAATTGCAACCTGTTATTTTTTTAATAAGAATTATATTTATTTTAGATATTTTTTAATATAGAATTTTTATCCATTAAAGTTGAGTTCTTTGGTTTCATCTATATTCACTTGATAATTTGACGCTGGACACATGTCAAGCCTTTACACAAATACTTGGCACATTTTTTAGCATTATTAATGAAATGCACAGTGTAATTTTTTTTCTGTTTTTTTTTTCTCTCGCAATTACAGCCTGTTATTATTTAATAAGAATTTATATTTGTTTTAAATATTTTTTTTAATATACAAATTATTGTTTTAGATTTTTTTATAAAAATAATTTAACAATCCTATCACTAACCATAATTTATAGGAGAAGTTGAAAATTGGGCAGTAGTAGGTATGAGAGAAGTTAAAAAGGTTTGTGGATTGGAAAAAATCAATAAATGTTGAGATTTTTTTTAAAAAATAAAAAAATTACAAAATCAAGATTGGGATATTGGAGCTCTTGAAAGTTTTGTGGGTTAGAAATTCTATTTTTTATATATATAATATATAGATAGATGGATTATAACGCATCTTTGAATAATAATAATTTTAAAAAAATAGAATTTAAAATATTATTTTTCTTGTTTAATTATTCCACTGGTCCGCCCAAGGGAAAGATCTCAGTCATCCAAAATCTTTAAACGCCAAGAACCTGCCCCAATCAGCGTCCACATTAAGAAGAAGCGGGGCCCATTATTTGAATGCGGAGCATCACTCAACGTCGAAGAAGCCCATCGTTTTTTAATACGGTGGCATTTGGGAACCAAAAAAAAAAAAATTAGTTTCTAGCTTTAAACTTGTTTTGAATCATTAATTTTGACACATGAAGGAATAAAAAAGTCAAAAAGTCAATTTTTAACTAATTTTTCAAATCACCCCTAAACCATAAATAAATTAAACAATTTTTTTTTGAAATTTATAAATAAAAAAAACAGTTATTCTCATATTTTAAATATAATTATGCTAAATTCTCTTAAATTGTATTTGAATTGAATAATAAATTTGAATAATAATTTAAAAAGAAAAAAGAAAAAATATTAGTAAAATATAGTTATCAAATTTTACTCATAATTTTTAGGGTAAATTACATTGACACCCCTTAAGGTTTATGTTTATTACAATTCCCCTCTCACCTTACATTCCCCTCCTTGAAATTTAAAGTTTCATTACAGATTACCCCTTGAGGTTTAAAGTTTCATAACACTTCTCCCCTCTCCGTAATAATCATCAAACATAAAATTAATAAGCAGGGGGTCAGTGTAATTTTCCAAATGTGAAGGAGAACTGTAATAAACATAAACTTCAGGGGATGTCAGTGTAATTTACCCTAATTTTTATTTTTCTTTCAAAATTTATATCCAAATTCATGTTTCAAACAAAAGGTTTTAATGTACATAATAATTATATTATTTTTTTTTAATAATTTGTTAGTCGTATGAATGAAAAAATAATATTATCTTATTTTATCTACTAAAAGGTATAATAGTTACTCTATTTATTTTAATTTATACTCGTCATCTATATTAGTTTGAGTCATTTTATCTTGTTACAAAGAAGATTAGAATAATTACATAAAAAGTATAAAGCTAATTATATATATTTTTAAATTTTAAAGAAAGTAAGGGTTTGTTTGGGATGTCTTAATAAGTGAACTTTTTGACTTTTTGGACTAAAAAGTTGAGGAAAAAAAATATAGTTATTTGGGATAACTTTTTATCTTTTTAAGAAAAAATATGTATTAAAATATTGTAAAAAATGACAAAATTATGTTTTTACCCCTACATTGTAGACTTCTCAGTGACAGGCGGCAGGAGGATAGTACGGCTTGGTTGGAATGGTGCATAAGGCTTTACGGGTATTGTTGGACCATGGAGGCCCACCACGGGTCTCATTTCAATAATCTGAACCGTTCAATATGTAGAACTCGTTGAATACTATATATCTACGCAAAATCACTTTAATCGGATATCGATAACTATGTGATCAAAAAAGTTTTGTATGAAATTAATGGACAGTGAAAAATAAACGGTTGAAAAAAATCTATTTTGATCACATAGCTATCCATATCCGATCAACGTGATTTTTTAACAGGCATATAGTACTCGACGAGTTCTAAACATTGAACGGTTTGAATTATCAAAACGGAACCCATGGTGGGCCCCACGGGCCCAATACTACCCTCCAACTCGATGAATATACATATATATATATATATCTAATTTTCTTTTTTGTTCCTTTCACAGACCCAATATGTACTTATCAACCATCAATTTAGTACCTGTCAACTTGTTGGTTTGTATTAAAATATTGTGTAAATTAATTTTTTTATATTTTTAATTTATGAATAATAATAACTTTTTAACTTTTTAAATAAATTTTTGACTTTTTAAATTTTTACCACAATTTACAAAGAAAAAAATGAAAAAGGAGTCATTGTTTGAATAGAGAACATGCTTTCAATGTCCAAGAACTAGAAATTCCCCCAAAAATCAGATATTCCCACATTTGGTGTCTTTGAAAGGCCCAAGTCATTTCAATTTTGTATTAGCAGATTCTCAGTAGATTCCAGGAATCATCCCTTCCCCAGCATCCCATTTCCCACTGTCCAACGCTTATCATTACGTACCAGTAAACACCCACACACTAACATAAAATTCACGATCACAAAATATTAGATATTTTTCTAATATATAAATTATTTTTTACAATATATTTTTTTAATTATTTTTTTTATAATCGTAACTTATTAATTTTTAATAAAAAACTATATTTGTTTTAAATATATTTTTTAATATAGAATTTTTTTAAAACTTTAATAAAATGCATGTAATTTTGCTTCTCTTTTTTTTTTTTATAATTACAACCTGTTATTTTTAATAAGAATTTATATTTGTTTTAGATATTTTTTAATATACAAATTCTTTTTTTTAGATTTTTTATAAAAATAATTTAGCAATCTTATCACTAATCATAGTGTATGGAAGAAGTTGAAAATGGTGCTAATAAGGGGTTAGTGAGATCTAAATCTGATACTGGTTTGAAAATGGTATTGTTTTAGTTTGAACTCAGTCAAAGACCAACATTTCTGACCAAAATAGTTGGTTGGGTCAACTGAGTCAACTCAGTTGAAAATTAAGAGAATGTTAATGTTTTTTTTTTTTTTCTTTTGCTTTAATTATTATAATTTGAAGGGAATGTTAAAGTTATAAGCCAACTGTTGGAAACTTTGCATAGCCCATTTTAACATGTTGAAAAATATGGGTCCCTATGTCCACTTCATAAGAACACAATTGTACCTTGTCTTTATTTTGTTGACTAGTTACACGACTTTATTATAGAATAAACATTTAATCATATGGTGTTCGAAGAATATATGCTAAATAATTAGTAGATGGTGATGAGATTAACATAATAGACGTGACTTTTTTTTGGGGGGTCACGAATTATGTTAAATCACATCGAATATATGCATGAACGAATAAACTCAGGATTAGAGAATTATTTGACTACTAGTTGGTGATGAGATTAATGTATAGACATAACATTTTGTTGTTTTTGGGGGTCACGAAGTACATTAAATCACATCGAATTTATGCATGAACGAATAAATTCAGGATTAGAGAATAATTTGATGTAAAGAATAATTCGGAATACGAGAATTATTCAACACAATGATGTGTATTGAAGTTATGGATAATGACAATATTTAACAAGAATTCTTAGAACTTTTAATTAAAAAAGAAAAAGAAAAAAAAGACATAAGTAACAATGATGATTATGACACTTGAGATAAAATGTTTATTGGGAATAAACATTAGTATGTGAAATTAAAATTGCATAGGTTATTTTAATGTGGTGAAAAAGATAAAAATTAATAATGTGTTGATTGCAGGAGTTGCAACAGAGGATTGAGACAGTGACTGAGAGTTGGGGACCAAATGGAAGTCAACCATCAGAGATGGATTACAAAGAGGAGATGGGTAAAATCAGAAAAGAGATTGTCAATTTCCATGGTGAAATGGTGCTTTTAATGAACTATAGCAATATCAACTACACAGGTACTCCTCGATGTTCAATTCTTCCCATATTTGTGTTTTTGCGAACAAGAAATTCACTTCCATTTGAACTCAATTGACATAACTTGTCTAAAATAAAGACGGGTGTTTGATATAATTCAAGCCAAAGCAGTTTACCCAGTTGTGTTAATTATTACTTGTATTAGGAGCCTCTACGAATGATCACAAACACATGAGCAAGAATTATCCCATAATTTTCAGTTTTGAAGTTACAAGGCACTAGTTATGGTAGCCTTAAGAGAGATTGAAGAAAAAGAGGAACTGTGTATTTTTCTGCGGAGTTTTTCCATCATTGTTGTGTAAAATGTATTCTCTATCTTTATATAGTCGTCAACAACCACCATATCTTCTACAGATAAGATCCCTTCATTCAAATACATGGGTTTATCGAATAATCCATGTGGATACGTCAAGTGTATTGGATCAGATCAAATCCGATCAAATTTTTCAATAACATGGATGTATGAGTTATAACATTTGTTTAGGCAGAAAAACATTTTTATTACTGAACATAGTTTCTAGAAAAGGTCTTTTGTAATAAAAGATTTTTGTATTTTATTGCAAACTTGAAAGTGGTGTGCTAGCAGTGGTTGCAACAGTCGCAGTAGTGGCAGCGATAGTAGCCTTGGGTTAGGGTGGTGCGGGTGGTTGTGGAGGCAGGGTGGTAAGGTGGCGGCATTGGCGAGTGATGGTGGTGACAATGGTGATGGCATTGAGAAGACCATAATTATTAGAAAAATGTTTTCCGCCTTGAAAAAATAGAAAAGGGTTTCGCTTAAATTAATTCAGCTTTCATTGTTCATGGAAAAGCCTTTTTTATTGACTATTTTTCTTGTCATATCCAAATCCCAAAAATAATTTTTATTTTTATTTTTTATGAAGCCTAAGATTGCATTGATATACTAATTGAACCAAATGGCAAAAATAGAAATTCAATTAGTAGTTCTAGTCATATTTCTTTGTTGAGTGTTACCACTATACAAAATTGTTAGACAATAAAAAAAAAAATGAAATTTATTACTTTGCAGGGTTGGCCAAGATCTTGAAGAAATATGACAAGCGAACTGGTGGGTTGTTGCGCTCACCCTTCATTCAGAATGTGTTGCAGCAACCTTTTTACACAACTGATCTCATATCAAAACTTGTCAAAGAATGTGAAAGCACCATCGATGCAATGTTCCCAGTGGTTGAAGAAGAAGAAGGAATAATCCGCGGAGAAAGAGAGGCGATTATGGTGTCGGGAGAAGGAATTTTTAGGAATACAGTTGCAGCTCTATTGACTATGCAAGAGATTAGAAGAGGAAGCTCCACATACGGCCACTTCTCTCTACCGCCTCTCAACTTGCCGGATTCTGATTTCATCCAGGCCTTTCAACTCAATTCACCCATACCAATTCCCTAATATTAGAGAAATTATGATACATGCAATACATTTAACACATATAGTTGGCCATAATTTTGTGTTTTTTGGGGATTGGCTAAATGCTACATAATACATGATGTATAAGAAAGTAGGCCTACCGCTTCTTCCTTATTTTTATTTTATTTTTTTGTTGTATGCTAATTAGTATGTTGAAAGATGAGCTTCTCTTTTAGACAGTTCTAATATTAATGGAAAAATTACAAATTTTCAATATTTTGGAATTAGCTTTTCTAAAATGGGATTATTTGAATCAGATAAGGGAAAAAAAATGTTGAAGGTTTATTAGTTGTTAAACAAATTGAATCACCAGAAGGTATAGAGGTTTTAATTAGACCAGTTAGGGGTAATGTTATATATGTAAGTAATGTTATTTGTGAGTTTGATTATCACAAAAAGCATAACTCAATACTATAAGAGATGGACTAAAAAAAAAAATTAAATTATAATCAAACATCACATGAGGTATAATGAAACAATTCTTGGATCATAAGTAAAATAATGTCATAATTAACAGAGATCGTAGCTAAAGATGCATACTAAAAAATGTGCACCATAGATTTTCCTTCACTTTAGTGCAAAATTGAACATTTGTATAAATGTACAAAATCATAGAAGATTTTACAAGATAATATGTCACTTTAGTGCCTGCCACTACTTCTGGCAACTCATCAAACATTTGTATTTATTTGTTTGCATAACATTTATATATGCCAAAAAAAAAAAAAAAATACTCGTTATTTATATTTTTGAACAAAAAATAAAAAACTAATTATTTTTATTTATCAAACGACACCTAAGATGTTGAAGACCTCATTTAATAGGTGAGTGTGGCATGATCTTTTGGGAGACAACTTCTTTTTGGTAAACAAAAATATTTTTCTCATTTAAATGGTTTACTCCCAAGTATGGGTCAAGTTTGAGGTTAATCCTTGCCATGAGACATTTTTAATCACAAAAACCTAATAATAATTGATAATTGGACCGAAGTAAGCCTAATATTTTTACTCACAAAAGCCTAATAATAGTTGATAATTGGATCGAAGTAGGAAAAGTCACATAAGACTAATAACTTCTACTAGAGAATGGAGGGATTCTCATAGACGGCGCCATTGAAGCAACCACTCACAATCAACACAATATTTTCTGTTTAGAGTATCATGCCTTCATGGCTTTGTTCTCCCTTGATGAAAAGGCCTCCTGCTAGTTGAAGGAAATAATTAGCTTTATAAGGTGGGTCGTAAATGTCCCACGGAGCGATGTAGGACGCGCCCTACAAAGCCACCCTTTAGAGAGCAAAATAATTATTTTTAAGGATCCAAGAAAAAAAGAGTCCATAGAGAGCAAAAGTATAATATACCCATTTATGAGTTGTGCGATGTCTACAAATCCTAGCCCATTGCCCTTTTTTTTGGTGGGTTTGAATTTTAGCCCTCTCTTGGATAACAAAACAGCAATCAAATTTCTTTTATAGCACCCCAGGCTAAGAGGCTAAGGCCTACTTTTATAAGGCCAAGCCCAATCTATACATTGGGCCTTCCCTAGGTTGGTCCACCATTTACTTAGGATAATTACTCGTATACTGACTAGACTTATTTGGAAATGGGGTGATTGTTGCGGCAATATGGGCTCATTTTAAGATCCGTTTTAATAATTTGAATCATTCACTTTTTAGAGTATATTGGGGGTGTTTGGTACAGCTTTTTTAAGCCAATTTATAGCTTCTGGCTTTTAAAAAGTTATTTTGGACTGTTTGGTTAAACTTATTTCAAACAACTTCTGATTCTAACAACTTATTTTAAGTCAAAAAAGCTGATTCTGAGAAGCTGCTCACCCCTTGCTTCTGATTATCAGCTTCTGCTGTGGACATGTTAATTCACCGTTATACTCTTAGATTTTTTTATTATTTTTTTTTTAAAAATAGAAAAAGACTTAAATGGACTATTAAATATTATTATTATTTTTTATGAAAAATGTAGACAAATAGTGAATAATAAAAAATAAAAATTAATTGAAAAAGCTACTTCACAGCTTATTTAACAAACATTACTCAGCAACTTAAATCTATAATCCAACAGTTATACCAAAAGTCATAATCTATAATCTGTTAAGCTATAATCTATAATCTGTTTTAACAGCTACACCAAACACCACCATTGAGTAGAATATATTTACAAAAAATAAAGTTGATCGAATATTGTTAACTATTTCATCGAATTGCATTTGTATCTAAAAAATAAATGATAAATGTGATTTGAATTATAGAAATGAATACAAATGTGAGTGGATGAAAGAGTTAATGATATCCAATCAACTTGATTTTTGTTAGGTATGTTCTAATCGATGTACTCCAAAAAATGAACGATTTGGATCATCGAAATGAGTCTTGAAATGGGCCCATATAGATGTACAACAGTGACTGCTGTGCGAGATGCACAACAATCACCCTATTTCCAACTTATTTACTTCCAAGTCCTAAATAAAATTTTGTGAACATATAAATTTTTGCAAATGAGAAATTTATGGTGTGACTTATTTATTTACTAGCATATACCCGTGCCTGAAGACACGGTGTAAATAATGTTAGGATTAAAATAAAATTGTAATCCCAACACTATTTAAATTTATTTTTTAATTTGATAAAATCACAAATTTATTATAAAATTTTGGAGTTCTCACAAAACTCCTCACGAAACTTATTTTTGCTTATATAATATATAACTAGATAGATAGATGTGCCTAACATACATACAATTTTCACGGGTATACATATAATACTACTTTTGCTTATATAATTATATGAAAATTGTATGGATACCCGTAATGTCCTACTGTATTACAGGCATACAAACATTATATGGAAATATTTGTAAAATATATTGAACAAAAAGAATAAAATAAAAAATAAAAAAACAAATAGAGAAAAAAATAAAAACGGGAGAAAATAAAAAATAAATAAAAAGAAAAGAAAGAGGAATGTGGGATCATGGAAGGATGGGTGAGAAAAAGAAAAAACAAGAGAGAGAGAGAAGAGGGAAAGTAGAAAATGTATATGTAGGACATTTTTTGGAAAATATATCTCAACCAGTGTTTTATAATTTGAACAGATCTGAGCCATCTAAATGTCCTAATAAGACAAAAATATATTGAAGATTCAAAAATCCTCATGTTTTATTAAAATACTAGCGTATGGCCATGGTGTCAATAATGTTAGGATTATAATAAAATTGTAATCCCAACACTATTTAAATTTATTTTTTTATTTGATAAAATCACAAATTTATTATAAAATTTTGAAGTTCTCACAAAATTCTTCATGAAAACTCATTTTTGCTTATATAATATATAGTTAGATAGATAGATGTGCCTATCATACATACAATTTTCACGGGTATACATACAATACTGCTTTTGCTTATATAATTATATAAAAATTGTATGTATGCTCGTAATGTCCTAGTGTATTACGGGCATATAAACATTATATGGAAATGTGTGCAAAATATATTAAACAAAAAGAAGAAAATTAAAAAAAAAACAAAAACAAATAGAGAAAATAAATAAAAATAGGAGAAAATAAAAAATAAATAAAAAGAAAAGAGAGAGGAAGGTGGGATCATGGAAGGATGGGCGAGAAAAAAAAAAGTAAGAGAGAGAGAGAGAGAATAGGGAAAGTAGAAAATGCATATGTAGAACATTTTTTAGAAAATATATCTCAGCCATTGTTTTATAATTTGAACAGATCTGAGCCATCCAAATGTCCTAATAGGACAAAAATATGTTGAAGATTCAAAAACCATCCTGCTTTATTAAAATATACTAGCGTATGTCCGTGCCTGAAGGCACGATGTAAATAATGTTAGGATTAGAATATATTGTAATCTCAACATTATTTAAATTTAGTTTTTAATTTGATAAAATCACAAATTTATTATAAAATTTTGGAGTTCTCACAAATCTCCTCACGAAAACTCGCTTTTGCTTATATAATATATAGGTAGATAGATAGATGTGCCTGACATACATATAATTTTCACAGGCATACATACAATACTTCTTTTGCTTAAATAATTATACGGGCATACATACATCGTATGGAAATATGTGTAAAATATATTGAACAAAAAGGAGAAAATAAAAAAAATAAACAAATAGAGAGAAAAATAAAATAATAAAAAGAAAAGAGAGAAGAAGGTGGAATCATTGGATCATGGAAGGATGGGTAAGAAAAGGAAAAAGTAAGAAAGAGAGAAGTGAGAAAGTAGAAAATAGAAAATGTATATGTAGGACATTTTTTGGAAAATATAACTCATCCATTGTTTTATAATTTGAACAGATTTGAGCTTTCCAAATGTCCTAATAGGACAAAAATAAGTTGAAGATTCAAAAACTATAATGCTTTATTAAAATATGTTGAAGATTCATATGAGATTTAAATTTATGAAATCTATCTGGTATTCAATACGTTTAATAATAATAATTAATTGTTCAAATTAATTTAATATGTGGACTATAAAATTCGTTAATTTAATCTCCATTACATACAGTAATATCTGGCTCCTAATTATGGGATCGCAGGTTTTTCCATATAATATGAATAAAAATAAGTGAACAAAAAGGAAAAAAAAAACATACAAATAGAGAGAAAAATAAAAATAGGAGAAAATAAAAAAATAAAAAGAAAAGAGAGAGGAAGGTGGATTCATGGGATCATAGAAGGATGGATGAGAAAAGGAAAAAGTAAGAGAGAGAAGCAGAAAAATAGAAAATGTACATGTAGGACATTTTTTAGAAAATAAATCTCAACCCTGCTTTATTATATAGATATTTTTATTTATATGTATAATATTGAGCTTTATTTGTTAGATTAATACATTATCGGTAAATTACATTTTGCACCCATGCGCTTTACATAAAATCTCACTTTGATCCTTACACATCATATTGTGACACTTGACCTCCTGAGCTTTTGGTCAAGTGTCACATTGGCCCTTTTGTTACTACCACTGTTTGACTCTTTAACAAAAGTTAGTCACATGAAAAACATGTGATCACTAAATGGCAGCATGGAGAAAAAACTTACTCGCATGGAGAAAAAACTTACTCGCAGTATCCATAACTACATTGCCACAAATGAAGCCAATGTCAACATGAACACACAAATGGCCATAATTCAT